TTGCTCTCTCTCTCTCAAAAATAAAGCAATAAACATCACACACACACACACACACACACACACACACACACACACAGATGCTTAGGCAGCCAGGGGAGCAGCAGGAGGTGTCTCCTTGAAGGGATGGACATTCCTAGGGTTCACTTGAAGAGAAACATTAAGAGTACTCATGTTGAAGATCAGAAACCCAAGTGGCCCCCCTCAGGAAGGTGGGATGTCAGGCAGAAAAGAGACTTACCCTGCCTGGGAGCCAAGTCACCTCCCTCTGAGGGTGTCAGCATAGAGCAATCCCCATTCCCAAACCCCTGAATGCATGTGAGAAATAAGGCCACTGACCCAATCAAAGGAGGGACGTAGAGACTCGGAGCACAGTGAAGCGAGGATTTAATCAACATTCTTGCAAGAGCGGGTGTGTGATGGATGGGCACATCTGGTGTAGTTACAGCAAAGAATTTATTTCCTAGCGTGCAAGTCCCTCCTGATTCCTCATTGGCGGGGTACAATGGAGGTTACAGCCTTACCCAGACTTCGCCTATGCCCACGTAAGGCAAAAAGTAGTCTGTTTGGAACATATGTACATTTCCCGAGGTGACGCAGAGACTTTCAGTCCCTCCTTTGTTCTTTGGTGCATGCTCTCGCAAAGCCTTTGGAAAATAAGCCCGCAAAACGGAGAGGGTTAGAAGAATCAGGAAGTGAAGTGTCTAAGGGTTTGAGGCTCCATGGGGGGAGGGGGAGTTCATATAGATTTCCAATAGGTTGTAAGCCTACTGGTAACTAGACAGCTCAGCTCTTATTTGGTATTTCTGAAAATGAATCGTCTCCCTTGTCACAGAGCTGCAAGCATGGCCGGTTCTCACATCCGCCAACCACAGAGCTGAGGTGATTTGTTAAGGTAAATAGTGGTTTCCTCACACTAGGAAGCAGTGGATTCCGAGTTTGAAGCCAATTTTACTTTAAAGTCCATGCTGCCTCCATGAAAAGGCAAGAGACACAGTTCAAGTTCCCAAATGTGAAATTTCCAAAGTGTGTGACCTGGGACACATCACTTCCTCTCTGGGGTAAAAGGTAAAGGCTGCACTTGTGTATTGGTGTAGGAAACAAAGGCAAAAGAAAAAATTAAATTTCCTTACAACTGACAATTCCTTGAGACAGGCAGAGTGACCTCTGGAAACTCGACTGCCTCCGTGTTGACACTTTGCTAAGGGCAAAAGTCAGTCTTAGCTTAACATTGTCCCGCCCCTCTAGGATCCTGTAGATCTAATTTAACATATAAAAATTCCTTTGGAATCTTTATCTCTACCCCTCAAGATACATGTTGGCAATCATGCTCGAAGCATATATGGCCCACTGGTATACATCTGAAGCATCTGTGACTGAGGTTTTACTGACCAGTAATAAATGACGTTTTCCTAACAACAGCTAGCCCCCTCAGGGTCCTGGAAACCTAGCTTCCAAAATACCTTGGAGGCTTACGCTGTCCCTAACCGCCTCTCAACTTGAAAGTGTATCATCCATCAGTCACCCCTCACAGCGCCAGTGCAGCTCTTTCTGCCCAAGGGTCCTGTCCTGGGCTTCAATAAAACCACCTTTTTGCACCAAAGACGTCTCAAGAATTCTTTCTTGGTCATCCGCTCTGACCACCCCACCCCCCACCCCACTTCCACATCAGGTATCACTCCTGAAATGGGGACAACCCTAATCCAAGATTTTTTTTTTTTTTTAAGATTTTATTTTTAAGTAATCTCTACGCCCAAGGTGGGGCTCGAATTGACAACACAGAGATCAAGGGAAGCATGCCCTGGGACTGACAGCCAGGAGCATCCAAGGATTTCTTTTTGTAAAGGTTTATTAGCCTCTTTTAACCTTTATTAGCTCCCCTCCTCCCCCAGAATCACCAAGCACATCCCCTGGAAGGGGAGCCTGCCTCTTTGACCCCACGCAAACACGACGGAGACTCACGACCCAGGCGGACAGAATCTTGGCGCGGGGCTTGCGTCATCCCGATGCCCGCTAGTGCTGACGCGTATTGGCGGGTCTGCGCCTGCGCAAGGAGAGCCCAGGGCTAAGTGCGCGTGCGCACTGCGCGTTCACCGGACAGGGTTAAGACCGCTCGGGGCGGAGATATGGATTCCTGAGTGTGGTGAAGAGTTTTGGCAACTCCGAGGGTGCGAGGAAGCAGTCGAGAATCCTCCTGGCGGCGACGGGCTCAAGTTGAATCGCGGCAGGGCGAGTGGTCGAAAGCCGGGCGTGGCATGTCCCGGGTGCCCCGGTGCGGACAGTGAAGCGCGCGGCGAGCAGGATGGGCCGGCGCCGGGCGCCCGAGCTGTACCGGGCCCCGTTCCCGTTGTACGCGCTTCAGGTCGACCCCAGCGCGGGGCTGCTCATCGCTGCGGGCGGAGGAGGCGCTGCCAAGACGGGCATAAAGAATGGCGTGGTGAGAGCTCAGGGACACTGGGGCCGGTCACGGCACGGGCGACGGGGATAAGGGGTCTTGGGGGTGGGCTGTACCTCCGGCTGCACACTAGCTGCATTTCTAGCTTGCCCCCTCCCCGGTGGAAAGCCCGGCGCCCTGGCGGGAATTTCACCTGAGAACTTACCACGAATCGTAAAGTGGAGTAAAAACAGCACACGACACCGCTTAGGCAGGAACGCTTCAACTCAACCTCACAAGCAGCTCCAGGGGTCTTATCCTGGTCTTTTCTGGGGAGATCGCATAGACCTGTGTCTCTGCTTTCTAGCAGCGGCAAGGGTGCTGCATTTGGTCTTTAGGCAAGGGTTCTTCACTCTTCTGAGGATTACCCAATTATTTTGTAAACTGCAGGTATTAATCCCAACCCTCCTTTCTGTACAGATTTGTGAGGTTCCAAAGAAAGAAAGAAAAGGAAAGAAGCAAGCAGGCTGGGAAAAGCCTTTTAAGTAGAAACTGTAGTAAGCAAAGAGATAGGGCTTTAGATTATAGGATGTAAGGTTGTCCTTACATCCTGGGCGCCCCTGCACCTTGCTCACCCTGGTTCCCTCTTCCACAGCACTTTCTGCAGCTAGAACAAATTAATGGGCGCCTGAGCGCCTCTTTGCTACACTCTCATGACACAGAGACACGGGCTACCATGAACTTGGCGCTGGCTGGTAACATCCTTGCTGCAGGGCAGGATGCCCACTGTCAGCTTCTGCGCTTCCAGGCCCATCAGCAGAAGGGCAAAAACAAGACAGAGAAGGCAGGTGAGAAGCTCCCTCTTTAGCTTTGGGGTAAGGGTTAAATGAGTAAGATCACTTATTTTTGGTTCCAAAAAAAGGGGTTGGAAGTGGGTTATGGTAGCAGGCAAGAAGCTGGATGTTCACTACTAGGGAGGGGGCAAGTACTACTTACTATAGGGCCCTGAAACCTGGCAGACTCTTTGTATTTCAGGTTGCAAGGAACAGGGGCCACGACAGAGGAAGGGGGCAGCCCCAGTAGAGAAGAAGTCTGGAGCTGAAACCCACCAGGAGGGGGTAGAACTCAGTGTAGAGAATTTGCAAGCGGTGCAGACAGACTTCAGCCCTGATCCGTTGCAAAAAGTTGTATGCTTCAACCACGATAACACCCTGCTCGCCACTGGAGGGACGGATGGCTACGTTCGTATCTGGAAGGTGTGGTTTTGTGGGTTAGAGGATGAGTGTCAGTAGCAGCAAGGTCAGATTGTGATGAACTGATCATGGTTCTGGGAAACTTGAGTGGAGCCTGTACTGAGTGGCAGAAAAAAAGAAGGGTGGGGATCATTGCACCCTTGCTGGGTACCTAGGGTAACCATGATGGTGGTTTGGTCGCAGGTACCCAGCCTAGAGAAAGTTCTGGAGTTCAGAGCCCATGAAGGAGAGATTGAGGACCTGGCTTTGGGGCCTGATGGCAAGGTGAGGAAGTGAGAGTGTCAAAAAAGTAGGTGATTATGCTGCTTGTCCAGTAAGTGGATCCCCTAACTGTCCATCCTTGGAATCTTGATTCCTGACTAGTTGGTAACTGTGGGCTGGGACCTTAAGGCCTCCGTGTGGCAGAAGGATCAGCTGGTGACACAGCTGCACTGGCAAGAGAACGGACCCACCTTTTCTAACACGCCTTACCGCTACCAGGCCTGCAGGTGTGAGACCCCAGAGGGTAGCTAAAAGAGGCACAGCCTAGATGTGGTGGGGGAGAGGGAAGAGACTGGGGGGAAGCTGGGGAGGATTGTAGCCTTGGTGGGTGTTACCCCAGGCCTGACCAGGGTGCAGGAGGGCACAAACCTCTGAGAAGGGCTGAGCAGGCCCCAGGAGCTGAATATCCTCTCACCTGGCCCCCAGGTTTGGGCAGGTTCCAGACCAGCCTGCCAGGCTGCGACTCTTCACAGTGCAGATTCCCCACAAGCGTCTGCGCCAGCCCCCACCCTGCTACCTCACAGCCTGGGATGGCTCCACCTTCTTGCCCCTTCGGACTAAGTCCTGCGGCCATGAAGTCATCTCCTGCCTTAGTGTCAGGTGTGAGACAGTGGTGACTTGGCTGGTTGTGGGGTGCCTGGGGAGCTTGGAAGGATGTCCTGTCTGAGGCTCTGAAGAGTACTATTGGTGAATGTTGCTGCATAGGCCCCCGGGACAGTGAGCACTTTATTTTTTGTTGCAGTGAATCGGGCACCTTCCTAGGCCTGGGCACAGTCACTGGCTCTGTTGCCATCTACATAGCTTTCTCTCTCCAGGTAATGGGTAAAGGTGGGCACAGCCCTGAGGGCTCTTTGGGGTGGGGACTCTGGGCCTGCTCGAACCTAAGTGTGTAGGAAGGGTCTGGCCCAGCTCTAGAGGAAAAGCCATCTGGGGACAGGGAGATTGTTTTCTAGGGGAATGTTCTGAACAGGGCCATCCGTCAATAGTTCTTCTCCTGTCTCCAGCGCCTCTATTATGTGAGGGAGGCTCATGGCATTGTCGTGACAGATGTGGCCTTTCTACCTGAGAAGGGTCGTGGTCCAGAGCTCCTTGGCTTCCATGAAACTGCCCTGTTCTCTGTGGCTGTGGATAGTCGTTGCCAGCTGCACTTGCTGCCCTCACGGAGTGAGTCATTGGGATGGGGGTGGGTACCGCCCTACCTCTAGCTATAGCAAAAACTTGCCCCTTAGAGAATGGGCCGCTTGTTTGTAGCCATCTGTCCCCTTCTTGAATGGTTTTGTTCGTAGGGCTGTGAAGCCCCTTTGCCTGCTGACTTCTTCCCTTACCCCTCCTGCAGGGAGTGTTCCTGTGTGGCTGCTGCTCCTGCTATGTGTCGGACTTATTGTTATGACCATCCTGCTGCTCCAGAGTGTGTTTCCAGGTTTTCTTTAGCCTTTCTGCTCTTAGGGAATCAGGGGCCTGGACATTACTACCTTCTAGAACAGAGTGGAGGCCTGAACCCCATTGCTCATTCCACCTGAATCCATAGTTGGCGTTCCTCTGATGAGACTGACGGGCACTGCCTGCCCTGCCCACTTAAAGCTTGGCTATGGCTCTGTGTGACTCTGAATCCTGAGAACCCTTCATTCTTCATCCGTGGATCCTCCCAGGACAGTGGTATCTGAAGGCCAGGCCACACCACCTGCATTCTTCCTCTGCCTGCCAGAGGCTCCAAAGTTGAGCTTGTCCTTTCTCCAGAAATATGTGAGGATGCCCAAGAACCTGGAGGTACTGCTGTCCATCACTTGGGTCTTCACGTGAACCCCTGGCGTTTGCTGAAGCAAGCACTGGCCTGGGACTTGCCGTTAGGGAAGGAAGGGGCAAAAGGAAGACCCAGGCAGTAATCTCTGGGTCCAGCCGGGTAGCTCCAAGCCAGCCAGGTGACATATACAATAAGTTCCTGGATGGTCTTCCCTACCCTTGAGAAAAGGGAAAATGAACCTCAGCACATTCAGCAGGAAAAGTTGATATTTTTTTTTCTTTTTTTTTTTTTTTTTTCCAACGTTTTTATTTATTTTGGGGACAGAGAGAGACAGAGCATGAACAGGGGAGGGCCAGAGAGAGAGGGAGACACAGAATCCGAAACAGGCTCCAGGCTCTGAGCCATCAGCCCAGAGCCCGATGCGGGGCTCGAACTCACGGACCGCGAGATCGTGACCTGGCTGAAGTCGGACGCTTAACCGACTGCACCACCCAGGCGCCCCTGGAAAAGTTGATATTTAATAAACAAGCAAAGACTGAACTGAGACCCTGGTGGTACTCCTGTCAGTTCTTGCCTCCCTCAGAAGGTGAGAGATCCCTGAGGTTGAGCAGCGACACTGGGTGCTGGAAGATGGCTTTGGCATACTGATGCAAGAGGCGGTTCATGTAGCTGTGCTGCCAGGGGAACAGCCCTTCCAGGAAGCCAATGTGGCCACCCCGGGCTGTGATGAGCAGTGCAACATGGGGAGAATGTTGGGCAGCCTGTACGGGAAGGGCTTGGGGAGGGGTTAGAGAGGAGGTCAGGAACTGGCCTTTTCTGAGAGCCCAGTCTCTCTCCCCTTGCACCTCACCACCTGTTTTCCCCAGGGCCTGTAAAGCATCCAGATTCAGGGTGCTCACCGTGGACTGGGCAGAAGGGGTCATCAGCTGCATTGAGGCAGAGCACAGGGGTCTGGATGGCATCTACCTTGGTTCTTGGGCTTGCTGCTTGGTAGTAGGTAACACAGTCTTGATATCCAAAAGCCACAGCTGTGTAGCGCTCATCAAACTGGCGGATTGTGCGGGCCTGCATGTGGCAGAGGGTGGGGTACGCTAGGATGAGGATAGGGAATAAGAAGATACTGAACAATTTTGGGTAGGGGGTGGTGGTTGAAAGACTCTACCTGTAGCACAAAGTCTACGTTCACCACCTTTTCCATCACCTTCCTATTTCTGCAAAAGAGTTCATAGAGGTGTGACTCTCCTGGACCTGACCCTATCGTATCTCATGAATAAGCAAACCCAGTTACAAAACTAGTCTGAGCACTGGGAGAACCTGGTATTTCTGCCATCCCATCCTGCCTGCTGCCCCCTCCCACTTGCCAAAACCCTACCGGTTCACAATGTGGCAGAGCTCGGCAGTGAGGCGCTGATTGAAGAGCAGTGAGTTGAGTGGGGTCTCCAGGGAGCGGGTGGTTTCAGAGGAATCCCAGCATGCAGATAGAGTCAGTGCTGCCACCAGCCCCGAATCTTGCCCTGTTCGAGCTAGGTGGTTCAGCACTAATATCCTGAAGGATGGATCCAGGGGCCGTGAAAGAAGGGTTTGCTTTAGTGAGTTGGGAAAGGGGGAGAGGACATGGGGGAGGAAACAAAGGAAGACTGGACCTTTGGGTCAAGCCCAGGCAACCTTTACCCTCCAAGAGAGATGCCCACAGCCAGCAGTGGAGCTTGGGAGTAGCGGTGCTTTATGTGGCTCACGACTGTCTCCAGATCTTCAGTGTTGCTGGCACAAAAGGCTCTGTGAGTCTGAGGCAAACCAGATAATTAGGTAGGGAGGGAGGCCCTGGCCAGAAGCAGAAAGATGGGAGGGTTCGAGAGATGGAAGGAAAATGGAAGAAGGATGGGTAGGTAGAGCCCCAGGGCCAAGGATCTGTTAAGGGAGTGGGGTAAAGGGCTACGATGAGGAAAGGATACTCACCAGCAGTTCTTCCCCACGGCAGCCTCGGTTGTTAAATACAACAGCTCTGTGACACACACAGGTACGTCTCAGCCAGGCCTTTCCTAGAAGCCCCGCTCCCCTTTTGGTAGCCTTCAGGAAGACCCCAGTCAGAAGTGCCCCTCATATAGTGCTTTCTTCCCAGAGGTATCAGGGTCTTGATCGGCCTCCCTATTACAAGGCCTCAGATACCACCCACTGCCTCCGGGCTGGACCCATCCTTACCTATAACCATCCCTCAGAGCTTGGTTGACTAGTTGTGAGATATAGGAGTCCTGGCTACTGCCTGTGATACCAGGAAGCAGTAATACAATGGGCTGGGTGGTGGGGTCAGGATATTGACTGCTGTTGTGCTGGCCAGCCCAGTCTAGCAGGAGCTGTCCTCCATCTGGGGTTTGGAGGACTTCGCTGTGGTTTTGGAGAAAAGGGCACACCAAGATACTATGAGGAACTCCGTGTGCTTCAGAAGGTTTACCTCTCTTCCCCACAAACAACTCCCACAACTTCCCTCCTGTATCATTTGAGGGCACACAGTGTGCCCCACATTAAGACCATAACAAGGTGTAATGGGACGTAAAAGATTAAATATTACCTCACTGTTGTGCAATTAAATAGCCCTTCTGTATAACCACTCTCGTTATCCTCAACACACTGAGGTACGTGGGGCAAAGATTACCTTCAGTTTTAAGAAGTAGACAGGATTTCCCGATAGTTGCAGCTTACTGTTCACCCGCTCTGTCCCTTCTTACCTCCGGTAAGGGACTGGAGGCCGAGACTGCAGCAAGACTCGAAAGATGGTTTGTAGCCGCCCCTCAAAACACCACAGCGTAGGGTAGAAAGTCTCCAGAGTGATCGGACAGTGTTGCTCCAGGAGGGCCAGAAACCGGGGCCCAGTCACCAGTTGAGGCCTCTGTAACCATAACAGTCTACCTCACTCCCCTGGATTTTGCACAGCCAGTGAGGCACCTGACACCAGAGCAACCCCTCTCCAGAGGCCGGCCTCTGGGGGTGAGAGACCTAACATACCTTAGCCTGGAATGGCCAAGTCACCTCTGTTTATAATAGAGTCCAGCTGGAGCCCCAAAGAACTTCAGTCCTGGAGGGCGAACTCCAGTCCTGGAGGGCAACCTCCGGCACGGACTCAACTGACCTGGAACCAGGGCTGGGAACTGCTGCAGCTGACTGAGTGCTGACTCCTCCGCTCAGGCTATCTGTGCCCCAAACCCATTTTGCAGAGAGCAGGTAATATCAACTGCCCAGCTGAGTCCTTGCGGAAAGGGTTGGCATCCTAGTCAGAGGCTGAAGAAATGCAGTACCATTCAATCTGTGACTTCTGCCTTGCAATTGATTTACCACACTCCTCTTCCTCAGACTAGCTCCAGCCATGCTGGCTGCGCCTGATTTTAGCACCCCGTTGCCACATACTCGCGGTCCCTCCCTACCATGCGCTCACTGCTGCTTCTACCACAGCACCTCATTTTCTCGCTCATAGGACCCCTGTCGCCAGACCATACTCCAAAGGAGGAATGGTCTCGATGTGAACAGATTTTCTTCTTGTTTCATGCCAGCTAGAGGGAAGGTAACAATGGCAGGGACAGACAAGTCAGTGGGGACTCGGCTCTGACTTTCCACCCCTCTGCTTGGTTCTTGGGTACACATCAAGTGAATGAGAGGGCTAGCCGCATAGCAGGCTTATGAAACAGGGGCATGCTGTACAAAGCCAAAAGGTCACAGTCTCAAGAAATTTCTATTGCTGTTGCAAGCCCTAAGGAACCTGAGGACCAGATTCCTAGGTCTTCTGCAGTTTTAGTACCCAAAAAAGGCTGGGTAAATTATGAACTAGAGAGGCCAAGTTGCTAGCGCAGCTGTTGAGAGATGTGACTCATAACATGGTCTTTAACCCCCGGAATAATAATGCTTGAGATTCATTGTATGCTATATGCAGGTTCTAGGCTAAGCCCAACCTTATGAGGGAGCATATTTCATAGGTGAAGAAATGGCGACTCAAAGAGTTTAAGTTGTTTGCCCAAAGTCACACAGCAAGCAAGAGGCAAAGCAGAATTCGCAATTATGATACTACCACCAATACTAGTAGGTTGAATTTGTTGAGTGCTCATGTTTCAAGCATTGTGCTAAGCACTTTACATAATTATACCCTGTGATTTTCACAATAGCTCTTTGACAGTAGATCCTGTGATCCCCCGTGGGAACAGGCTGGAATGTTGAGTAAGTTGTCAAGGGTCATGAAGCCTGCCAAAGACAGCTAGTGGCGGAACTGGAATTCAAACCCAGGTCTGACTCTAGAGCTTATGCTCTTAATCACCGTACTATATTACTTCCTAATTGCCAGGATTTTGAGTTGTCATCAATCTGTGGAATTTTTTCTTTTAAGTTTAGTTAAAGAGAGAATGCAAGGAGGGAAGGGGAAGAGAGAGGGAGAGACAGAATCCCAAGTAGGCTCCACACTGTCAGGGCAGAGTTTGGGGCTCAAACTCAATGAACCACGAGATTATGACCTGAGCGGAGATCAAGAGTCGAACACTTAACCGACTGAGCCACCCACGTGCCCCAATTTAGGGAATTCTTGATCAAATAAGCTCAGTAGTGTAGAATAAACTAGGTCACACATTTGATTTATATGGGTTAATTTCATTTTAGCTCTAGTGAAGTATTTCTTTTTTTTTTAATTTTTTAAACGTTTATTGATTTTTGAGACAGAGAGAAACAGAGCATGAATGGGTGAGAAACAGAGACAGAGAGAAAGACACAGAATCTGAAGCAGGCTCCAGGCTCTGAGCTGTCAGCACAGAGCCCGACGCAGGGCTCGAACTCACAGACCGTG